TGGGACAAAGAGGTAAGAGCTATGAGCAGAGACTCAAGGACCTTAACCTATTCTCTCTGGCAAGAAGGAGAGTAAGGGGGGATCTCATAGAAGTCTTTAAGATCATCAACGGTCTCTCCGGACTTAAGTTCGAGGACNTCCCCTCAAGTGGCACTAGGGGACATAGTTTTAGGCGACAACGTAGTCTTGTAAGGCTGGACAATCGAGTCAAGTTCTTTACAAGTCGCGTAATACCTTACTGGATTAGTCTACCAGAAATGGTGGTAAGTTGCTCGAACGTCATAGCCTTCAAGAGGGCATTGGATGACGGTTGGGCTTCTACCTTCCCTGAAGCAGTTTGATGGTAAGTACCTATTAGTCCTGAAGAATATTGCCCAGGACGTGATAATGCACCTTACTTTCTGCCTTTCAGAAAAAACCTATTGACTCGCAGTGTTGGAGGCCAAAAGAACAGCCAACAATCTGGACGCAAGATTGGCCTGGGCCATACATCGTCTTGTGCGAACCGAACTTAACTGAACTAGTGTAGCAGAATACAGGTCACAAAGAGGAATGGTTCATAGTGGGATCCCGCAGGGGTCCGTACTAGGCCCACTCCTCTTTCTGCTGTACATAAACGACCTTAACAGGGACCTCGAAAACCCCTGCTTCCAGTTCGCTGACGATGTGAAAATCGTCGGGTCCGCTCCAGGTGAGTCTATGCAGAGAGACTTAGACAGGATTCAAGAATGTCGGAGGTATGGGACCTTCCTCTAAATGCCCGTAGGTGCCAGCACCTCACCAGAGAAGGAGGGCACCATGGTAAGAAACTCTTAGGGCCACCTGGACAGCAGGTCGAAATTGCCCCAGTGACCTCTGCACGATACTTAGGAGTGAGCATGACCCCAGGCTTCATTCCCACTTTGCAGTGTCGGGATACTGTGAAGAAAGCAACTGGAGCACTATATCAGGTCCGACGTACAATAGGGTCCAGGAGGCCGGAGGTCCTCTTACCACTCTATAAAGCGTTTGTACGGCCAAACCTCGAATATTGTGTTCAGGCGTGGAGCCCGTTCTTGGTCAGAGATGCCAAAATGCTAGAGAAGGTTTAAAGGCGCTTCACGAGGTAGTTTGGCGAGATAAGAGAGCTACCGTATGAGAGGAGATTGGAGGTGCTGAACCTCTTCTCATTGGAGAGACGGAGGCGTCGAGGCGATCTCATAGAGGCCTTTTAGATCCTTAAAGGGATCACAGATATAGGAGGTGGTTCCCAGAAGCTTCTAAAGCTAAGTGAAACCACCTCACTCCGAGGGCACGCGCTGAAACTGGCAAAGAATAGGGTAACCNCTGAGGGCCACATCCATTCCAGTTCAAGTCGTGAATGACTGGAACAAACTGCCAAGTGAAGCCATAGCAGCCACCTTAGTGGCTGAATTCAAACACTGTTTAGATATCTCATGGGGCAGCTTGTTCGTCGGAGGAGAGTAAGCGTGTCAAGCGCCAGATGCCCGTCTCCTTCCCTCCTTCTCTCTTCATCCCAATGGCCATATTAACCCCCACTTCCACTTCCGCACTTCACCTCACTAACAAAAACCTCCGTGTATACTTCTTAATTTAGATTGTTCATCCTTACGGGCTTCAAGGTTTTTGATGTGACTTCCCATTCGAGAGGCCAGTATGCAACGCACCACTGCACAAACACATACGGAGTAGGGTGCTGTGACTGGAGGTCCTCTCCTTCTCGCCCCTCTACGTGTATACCACTGAAGATGAACCTTTTCATCCTATTGTCGCAGCATCGGGAGATCCTTGGAACTCACCAGTGAAGAATCTGGACAACCTGGTAAGCCGCCGTCACCGTCCTGGCCAACAAACCAAACCAAACCAAACCAACCAACCAAACCAGGTAATGAAATACAAATCAATCCATGTTTGTCTTGTGGAGATCACCACCTACGCTCCATTTTCCGCTTTCGTAATGCCAAATGTCACGCTTGCGGGAAAAATTGGCCACATTCGGAGAGTATGTAAACAAACTCGTTGCAATCTTACACAGCCAACTGCTTCAAACGACACACCTTGTGCTCTCTCTACGTTCTGAAGGCCCAGCCACCCAATTTCTGTACCGAGATGTGAAATTACAATCTGGTACAACTCACAAATTCATTGTTGACACGGGAAGTACGGAACATATAATTTCTAATGCTATGCTTTGGTCCATACGCCCCCAAGCAAAACCCCAACCGACATCCAAGCGAATTCTTGGTGCAACTAGACACCGATTACCATTGATTGGCGAGGTTTCGTTGATGGTTCACTCAGCAGAAAACCGCCTTGTCCCAATCTGCTTCCTTATTGCGGAAAAGAGTCCATCCATACTTGGCCTAATTGCAATTCGCGCTCTGAACCATTATATGTCGCTCCATAATAGTTCCCTGCCCAATGTGCACACCCGTCTACAGCGACTGATTGTGCAATTTTCAAATAACACAGGAGGCATGAAAGTTCGACTGGCCAAACTGAAATTTAAGGGAGAACCCATCTTTTTGAAACGCCGTGTCATCCCCAATGGCCAGCATAAAGGTGTGTTGAAAGCTCTGGAGAAAATGGAGCATGACGGCATCCTCACCCGAGTAACATCCAGCGCGTGGGAAACACCAATTGTGATCGCAATTAAAAGTGATGGTAAGACACCGAGAATTTGTGGTGACTACAGACTAACACTCAACTCCCGGCTGCGAAAGTGTGTGACCACTACTATGGAACCAGAAGTCTTCATGAAAGCTTCACATGGCAGCACATGTTTTTCGAAGATTGGCTTCGCTGACATCTACCTCCAGATCCCGCTTGATCCCGCATGCCACCAATTCACCACGATCAATACATCATGGGGATTTTACCAGTACAACTTTCAACCATTTGGTCTCCACACATCCTCCGGCATATTCCAGGCGGCCATAGATGAAGTCATTCATGGACTTAATGGCGTCCTAGCTTACCAGGATGATGTCATTGTTTTTGATGCAACGAAAGCCGAACATGACGAACGTCCCACTAATCTCCTGGAATGTTTCGCTCAGAAGAACGTGTCAATTCGTGCTTCCAAGTGCATATTCAATTCTCCAGAATTGGAGTTCCTGGGCTTCATAGTTGATGAAAAAGGCTACCGCCCTGATCCAAGTTGCTTTCGTCTACTGACTGAATTGGAGTCACCAAGGGACCAAAACCAACTCAGATCCATCATAGGATGCCTCCAATACCATTCGCGTTTCATCGCTAACTTCGCCACAAAAGCCCAACCGCTGTTTGCCGCCCAGTCAAGAGCAGACTGGAAATGGACGGCCGAGTGTAAACGAATTCTGCGTAAAACCATACAAATGATAACAAACCGACCGGTACTTGCCTCGTGCTCTCCGACGAAACGTCCAACTCTGATTACCGACTCATCAGACGTGGGCATTGGTGCTGTACTCGAACAAGATGGATGTCCGATTACCTGCATTTCTCTTCTACTGAATGCAGCGGTGCGAAGATATTCGCAAAAGCGGAAAGNGCGGAAAGAAGCGTTGGCTGTTTACTGGGCCGTCAGACGCCTGCACAAATACCTTGTGAGACTGCGCTTCACCATACTTACTGACCATCAATTCATACAATAATAATAATAACAATAAGTGTATATTTCACGGAGCCCCGTGAGGCATACGTACGCATGATCAAATGTACAACATAATCCTTCGTACAGGAGAAGCCCAAAAGAAAAAAAATTGGAGATCACAGTGGACATAATTAAAAATGGAACAAAGAGTAGACAAGGTTTCAGATAAAAAAAGGTTGGGGGTGGCGGAATGCTCTAAGAGAGCAATTCGGTGGAAGTAAGACAAAAAACAAGAATTGTTATACCGGATGAATGGTGGGATGATTGGAAA